TCTATCTCTTAGGCCTAGAGAGGTTAGATTAGCTTACTTTATATACTTAGTAGAAAACTATTCTAAATATAAAATAACTAGTATTAATTATAGTATAAGTAACTTAGGTAGTATTAATTAGTAAGTATATTATTACTAGAGTTTTATTAAGCTATTTTCTTTAAAATTCTACTAGTTTTTCTACTTCTTTTAACTTTTTATTATTTTCCTTATAACTTTAAGTAAAAGAGTCTAGTTTTTTAAATTAAAAATCTATTTATTACTATAATTTTTCTTTACTTTTGCGCGTAGAATATTTACTATTCTAATAGAAGTAGAGCTAAAAAGGTTTATAGCTAGTAGTAAAAAGTACTATATAAAATAGTATTTATCTTTGCTATAGCGTATATATAGACGCTTTTTTCTTTAATATACTTATTCTTTATTAAATATTTACTTTATATATAACTTATCTAAATAGTTCTTTCTAATCTTTTTTATATATACTTTAGTAGATTTAAGTTTATAAAATTTCTTCTACTTATTAATTATTTTTATTTAAACTTATTAAAGTTCTATTTTAGCTTTATATAGTATTAGTTTTTCTTAATAATTATTATATAGTTTATTAGTTATATAATAAACTAGTTATTTAGAATAACTATAAGTATTATAAGCTATCTAAAGTTTATTCTTAAAGTACTTAAGTACTAAGTCTCTAGATACAAATTATAAGATTTTTTTATATTAAAAACTAGCTTTATAAAAGCTATATTAAATTTATCTAAGTACGTTTTACTACTTTATATAAATATTATTAGCTTTCTCTAAAATTTCTCTATAAGTATATTATCTAAGAATTATTAGACTAAGAACTTTTAGAAATATATATATTACTAAATTTCTTAAAGTAACTTATTTAAAATATTATAATATTTACTACTTAATTTATAACTAGAAGAAAATATATTTTAGTTAGCTTTTTAGTTTTCTTTTATTATACTATAGCTAATTTACTATCTAAAGCTTAAATTATTAGTAATTACTATAGTTACTAGTAAAGAGTTAGAAGTCTAGAATTTTAATAAAGAATAATAAATTAGATTAACTATCTAATAGCTTAAAAAGTTTAGCTTCTACTTATTTAGCTTTTACTATATATCTATTAGTTAGAAAAAGAATTAAAAAAATAAAATAAAAGCAATTAGAAAAAAAAGAAATATATACTATATATTAGCTTTAAGTTATATAATTCTATAATTAAGAAAATTTAGTATTTTCTTAGTAATTATTAGTTTTATAAATAGTTTTTCAAAAATAGTATTATTCTTTATAAATAAATTAGTATTAGATATATCTAAAGAAAGAAAGACTAATACTTATTTAGTCTAATAGTTTAGTAAATTCTTAACTAGCTAAAGTTTAGTCTACTTTTTTTTAGTATTTATCTCTAAGTCTAGAATTTTAATAAATAATATAATTACACTACTACTACCTATTCTACCTAGCACTAATTTACTTCTACTTAATAATTACACTAGTATAGATCTTAAAAACTTTCTATATATATACTAGTATTTCTAGAATAACCTAATTATTACTAGTATTAATAATTACTATAAAAGCTAGCTCTCTTATACTTAGATTTTAATTTTCTATTAAAATCTTATTAAGAAGCTTAGTTAGAGCGTAGATCTTTTTCTCTAGCTAGCTTTTAGCTATTTTATCTTCTAAAATAATATTAGAACTCTATTTATCTTAATTATAGAGAAGCTCTTACTTTATTTTTTAAACTACTAAAGTAGCACTTTATTCTCTTCTATATAGAAGTAGATTTCTTAGCTTCTATCTTATACTAAATTATACTTATAAATTATATTACTAAAGATTATTCTTATAGTAGAGAGATTTTTAATCTTATATTCTATATTTTAGTACTATTAAAGTTAGCTAGAGAATATAGCTATACGTAGATATCTTATTAGTATAGTTATCTTAGCTTTATTTTTTATTATTAGATATATTATTTCTTAAGTATATAAGCTTTTTATAAGCTTATTACTAGGTAATAGCTTTGCTTATAAGACCTTCTCTATCTAGAGTACTATAGTATATACTATACTACTTATAGAATAGTAACTTTTTTAAGCTTATAATCTTTTTAGAATATTAAGAATATATTTAAAGAACTCTTTTCTTACTAATTTATAAGTCTTTTGTTTATATAGAAACTTATAAATAATTAAATATTTATTTTCTATCTCTAAGTCTAGTATAAATTAAAGTATCTAAGTAATTTAGTTTTAGCTATAGCTTTACTTTACTAAAGTAATAGTATACTAAGCTAAGCTCTCTACTAAAGTATATAAAAATATATTTATAGTAAGAGAGCTTTTATAAACTTTCTTAAAGTATTAATTAAATATAATTATAAAAAGCTAACTTTAAAAGTAGATACTAAAAAGTATTAAATAAATTTAATAGCGTTAAAGAAAAACTTTCTAAGTAGCTATATACTTTAGAAGAGTTTACTAAGCTTAGCTAAAACTAGACTAGATTTCTAGGTTTCTAACTAAGAACTCTACTAGGCGTAGTCTATTATTAACTTCTACTATAAAATATAATATATAATATATAAATAGGCTTTATAATTATACTAGTCTTCTACTTCTATAACTATAGAATTATTCTATACTAATACTTTATAGCTTTCTAAAATCTCTATTATATAGCTTATAAAGTATTTCTTATCTAAAGTTTATTTATAGCTATATAAGATTCTATAACTTTACTACTTAAGTTAATTAATATATATATAATATATTACGTTATTACTAAATAAACGTAATATATATAAGATTATACTTAGATAATATATCTACTTACTTACTAATAAAATATATAAGTTAGCTTATATACTATTTTATAGTAGTATATTAGTTAGCTTTTATTCTAACTAAGTTACTATTTAGCTAAAGTTAGTAAAGCTTTAGTAAAGCTTTAGTATAGAGTTAAGTTAGTATTTAGAATTAGAAAGTACTAATATTAAAAATATAAAGTTCTAAGAGTATAAGTTTAAATTACACTAGTTATATACTAAAAAAAAAAGATTTATTTAATTACTTTATTACTAATTATAAGTATAAATTAAAGTACTAATTATTACTTAAAATATAGAGTTATAATAGAATAGTAATATACTCTAATAAGTAAAAGCTTAAGACTTTAAAAAAATAGAGAAGAAAAAAAAAATTTTTATTTATACTATACTAGAAGCTATTATAAGTACTTTAAAAAGCTTTTTTACTAGTACTTTAAAGCTATACACTAGGCTTATTAATATTATTATTACTACTATTTCTATTATTTTTATTTCTAATATTTCTAGTTTTATTATTTTTATTTTCTTTATTATATATATAGCTAGCGTAAAGCTTACTATTATTTCTTCTACTAGTCTTACTTTTAAGAAGCTTATTAGTAAAATATATAAACTTTTTAGTAAATATAGCTTACTTTTAAAGTAATAAAAAAAGTACTTTACTTATAATTTTACTAAAATATCTCTAATTACTTATACTATTTATCTTTATAACTAACTTTATAAAGTAAGATTAATATAAAACTTATAGCTTTTTTTAGCTTTTTAAAATACTATACTTTAGTAAAAAAATACTTTAGTTAAAATACTTTATAAAAGTAATAAAAGCTAAAATAATAAAAATATAGTAATTATAGCTTATTTTATATAGTAAGATACTATTTACTAAATAGTAGCTATAATATACTACTATAAGTCTTTTAAAATTTAAAGTAAAAAAGAAGTAGTTATAATATTATAGTTATTATAAAATATATACTATAAAGCTATTATAGTATTTCTATTACTACTATATTATATACTTCTTAATAACTATTTAAGCTTTTTAGAGTTATTTTAAATAAGTATAGTATTAGTTAGAAGCCTTAGTACTAATAGTAATATACTTTAAGTTTATAAAAATCTACTAGTAATTCTAAGACTTATAGCTAAGTATTTTTTAATATTTTCTTACTAAAAAAAGTCTATAAAATTAGGTATAAAGTACTAATATATCTAAGATACTATAGAGTTTAGAACTTCTAGTAATATAAGATTTTTCTTTAAAGTAATATAGATAAGGTATACTCTATATTTATAGTAACTTCTTACTAGGTTTTTTAAAAAAATAGTTTTATATAAATATCTAATTTAAGTCTAACTTGCAAGACTCTACGCGCGCTACCTAGGTACTATTCTCTACTTTAACGTTAAATATCTATACTAACCTAATTACTCTTCTAGAGAATATACACTACGTATACTAATATTATATATTTAAACTACTTATTATAGTGTTAAATACGCTATTATTAATTAGATCTACACTATACTTTTAAGCCTTAATCTTACACTATTCTTTAAGAATTATAGTATTATTAGAATTATAAGTAGCTAGTATATTAATAGTTGCAAGCGTAAAGAGAACTAAGCTAGACTCTCTTTAGAGCTACAGAAATTTAGTATACTAAGATATACTTCTTATCTTCTACGCTAGTAAAGATTTCTATAAGTACTTAAGGCTCTAGTATTTCTTCTTAGTACTACTTTTTACTTCTCTATAGAACTTTAAGATACTAGACAGAACCTTCTAGTCTTCTTCTTCTAGCTATTTAAGTCTAATAGCTATAATATTAAGATTTATAGTGTAGTAGAGCTAGGTAACCTTTACTATAAATAAGAGGCTACCTTCTTTAACTAGACATTTCTATATATTAGATTTATAGGCTTTATTAATCTTATCTCTAACTCTAGTCTAAAGTTTAAGGTAGCTACTATTGCTATGTTTAAATAGCTGTATTCTCTTAGCTTTTCTCTTAGTCTATAATAAGATAATAGCGTTAAGATTATAGAATTTGCTACGTGTAAAGTCTTCTTTAGCTAACTTCGCAAGAGATTCCTCGATAGTACTACTAATAACCTAAGGCATATCGCGGAAGCTCTAGCGGAAAGGCTCTAATAGCTCTACCTGGATCTTGGTAGTAGAGAAGTAAGCTGTTGGGCCTTCGAGTTGGCACGGTGGACGCTTGAGCACCGGTGCGAGTTCGAAACTCAAAGTTACGAGACTTTTGTAGTCTTCCAAGCGATTATCACCTCCTTTGATAGCCTCGCAGAGGAGCTTGACGTCTCGAAACAGCATGATAACGTTGCAAGGCTCCAACAGCTCTGAAGGTGGCAACTCCTTCCTCCATCGAGGGTTGCTGTTTCCTATGGTGATATGCATGGCGTAGCCCCGGAAACGTTGGGTGATGGGCTTAATGACTTTGTTCCCGCTCTTTTTCTTCGTCTTGGTGCCATTGTCCAAGTCGAAAGCTAGCGTTGGCACGGAGTTGGCCTTGAGCATGTAGGCGAAATGTAGACCGCCAGTCGAAGACACGAGCAGAAACCGATTCCCCTTGATCATAGCGTCGTAACTTTCGTCGTAGATTTGCTTGTTAGCGCGTAGGATACTTGGACTAAAGTCTTTCTTAGACAGCATTGTGCCGTGCGTGATAGACTCGGGACGCGGGAATGTGCACAGCAGGATGCCATATATCTTGTCGCGAATCTCGCGGGGCAGATCGAGGAAGCGGAAAGATGTCATGTCTGGCGATTCTGATGAACTATTCAGGACGATGTGTAGAGGTCGTGTTCGGGCATGAGAACGGGATCGTGCGGGGCTTAAATTCAACGGCGGTGAGTGGATACCCTTCGGTCTAGTACGTTGTGGGTTAGGCTGAAACCGCATCCATGGATGTCGATGAGTACTTGCGCGGCCTCTTTTGCGCAATTCTAGTAATCATTCGATAGCAGTCAGATCCTGCCTCTGGGCATTACGAAAATTAAGACCGATCTGTGACAACATTTGCAGGAGTCACATGTTCAAAACCATCCATAGCAAAGGTATCTTTGGCAGCAGGACTGATGAGGAACTTTGCTTGCTGTTAAGCCGCGTCTACAAGCTTCCTTCCGGCTTTTGATACACTGGTATCGCTACATCGGGATCGTATGTGGACTGCACTACCTTGCTCCCTGGGGGCAATGCTATTTTGGTGCCATCAGGTAATTTCACTTCCCCGGATCTATCGCTCGCGATCATCCATGCGCTCTTCAAGCCCGCCTCTCTCGCGATATTCTCTTTGATTCGATAGACAATTTCCGGCCGTGGGATGAAGTTGTCCAAGTCTCTGCCATTTGTACTCTCTTCTAACTCGTCCGGTGTAGCTATGACCCAAGTCGGGTTTGCGTAACGATGCTTGATATGATCGAAACCCATGCAGAATAGTTTGTTCTGAACAAAGTCCTCCGGTATAGGATACGGCACATCGACCATTTCTAAATCATTTCGGATATCGGTATTGGCAATATTGTAATTCACATGCGTGATGACAACGTCGCGGATATCGATGCGAATCTTGTAAAGAGTGTTGAGGTTCTCGGCTAACCGCTCATCGACGTCGAATTGCTCAGCAAAAATGTCAAGATACCAGACACCGCCGTCGATTGGCGTTTGAGCGTCGATAACAAGTAAGGGCTCCGCTTCGGGGAAGAGTCTCCTCAAGTCTGCATGGGAAAGGTTTGACAAGTCGCGTTTATCTTCGATGAACAGCTGCTCTGCAGGATATGGAGAGCAGAAGTTGGCGCCAATGCCGAAGAGTTCCTGGACTTTATCGAGTTGGGTAGGTGTAAGATCAGCGACGAGAATGCCAAGAAAGCGCTGTTTGTCGCGGTACAAGTTTGGGTCGTAGACCATGATGGAGAAGCTGTGTCAAGGACGAACAGTACAATGTAGAGTAACAAGAGACCCTTATATGTCCGAACATCAGAATGGCCTGGTGTCTAACGTGTCATCGTAAACCGTAGTCACACACCTAAGTCTCCTCTACAACTACGCAGAATCAGTCCCTAACTTAGTCGTAGTTTTGATTGGACAAAGCACTAGACTATGCGAGGCAGAAGAGGAAACAATTGAGGCTGATGCCTAGACTATCATAAATGCGGAATACGGCATTGTGTACTGGTGTAGAGTCGATCGCATTCTCTGTCAGACGCACAGCGAGCCAATGACGTACGAGGGAGTCTAGAGCATGGATGTCTTGTGTCGCGCGTTGATGCCTTACGTTGTTCCTGGCTATAGCATGCGAAGTGGGGGAGCTGCAAGCCACTACGGATGGGAGCCTGGAGATGGGGTGCATTGGTGCCACAGGTTCGGCCCACGTTGACGCCGAGACTCGATACAGTCAATGCAAGGTGACAGATTTGACGTGTGCTCTCTTCAGTGGCCAGGAGTGTGATTATGGGCGGCGAGAGTGAAACTAGGTGGTGATGCTCGGTGTGTTGTGCTGGCCGTCTGGGCATGGATTGGAGCGCTATGAGACCCTGCTTTTGCACTCCCCACATACATGTGCTAGCCCAGCGCGTGAGGAAGTCGCGACTGAGAAGCGACAGCTACGCGATACCATCCTCTGCTGTTTGGATCCATCCCATTAGGCCGGCACTTGCTGCACACCCCGCTGAGAGCGCGATTGGGAGTGCATTGATCAGCATAGGCCCCTGAATCCGGCACCGAAATGGCGACACCACCCCCGGCTCGCGACAGAGCTTCCTCGGAAAGCGTGCCAGTCGGGAGTCCGCAGCCCAAAAAACTGCCCGCCCCCTCAACGCCCACATCCTCAGTCCGCCGCAAGATGGCTGCCAATGCGCCTTCCCCAGCCTCGAAAGATGGCGTCCCTTCCCGCCGCCCGACTGCAGCCAGCGGCACCGCTGCGAGCGCCCGCCGTCCTGCAGCGGCATCAACAAGCACGGCGCGAACCACTGCGAGCGCGTCAAAAGCCCCCACCACGGCGACATCGCGCACCAGCACAGTCGGATCCAGCCTGAACAAGCCGCCTACGCGTCCGGCAGCAGGGACGACGGCGCGCAGGACCATCTCATCGTCGAGAACCGCATCCGATGCCGAGCCAGACCTGTCGTCCGTCACATCAGGCGACGAGAAGAAGAGGACAGCAGTGCGCCGGACGCCAGTCACGTCATCAACTACTTCGAGGCCATCTCCTGCCAAGCCGACTTCGAGGCAATCCATTGCGCCTTCCTCCACGACCACGACTGCCGCCAAGCGTCCCGTAACCACACGCCCATCTGCAGAGGCAACGACGACCCGCACTGCTCCACGCGCCTCCCTTGCTGCGTCAACACGGCCGACCGCTACTCGACCCGCGGCAGGAACGCGGACGGCAGGCGCAACAGCGAAGGCGCCGGCTGGGCCTGCGAAGAAGCTGTCCGTCTCTGCCCCTCCACCACCAGCGCCGGAAACAGACGACACAGCCGAAGAAGCGTGAGTCAGCATGGGCCGCCGGGATAATACAATTGCTAACTTCATCACAGAGAGAGCCCCGTCGTCGTCACCCCTCGCCGTGCGCCCCTCAAGGACAAAGCTGCCTCTGATGCCGAAACCGAAAAACGCAGGAGCGCTCTTGAGCCCATCAGGGCTTCCATGGCGAAACTCGGCGAGGAGCCGCCGCGTCCGGATACTGCGCCGACGGGACGTGCCGAGATGGATGTGGAGATGAAAAGGCGGAGCGCTCAGATCATGCAAGACTTCTTCAAGGAGACCAACCTACGCGACAAGCTTCAAGAGCAATGCGACGACCTCACCCGCGAAGTCGATAATCTGCATTCTGAGAAGGACAAGCTGCGCAAACAGCTGGCGGATGCTCAGGCCGCTATTGTTGAGAAGGACAAGGCCATCTCCGGCGGCTCAGATGCCTCGCCCTCACAGCACCGCGCCCACACGATCCTCGTCGAGGACATGGAAAAGAAGTTTGCGAGAGAAACCAAGCAGTTGGAAGAGCAGAGCCAACAGCTCGAGGAAGAGAAGAAGCTTGCTCAGGAGAGGGAGGCGACCGAGGCAGCCAAGGCTAGCGAGCTGCAGCAGGTCTTGGACGATTTGAACGCCGAGCTGGAACAACAGGGACAGCAATGGGACGAAGAGAAGAAGAAGCTCGTCGAGCAAGCCGCGCAGATCGAAGGGCTCAACAAGGAGATTTCCACGCTTCGGGATGAGCGTGACAGCTTGTCGCAAGAGCTGGACATCGCCAAGAAGACGCTGGAAAACCTGGAAACGAAATTTGCGGAGCTCGAGCAGACCCAATCCGACAATCTCCGATCGCGCGATGCTAAGATCATCGAGCTTACCAAGACTGTCGATGAGTACGTGACAGAGGTTGCCTCTCGGGAGGAGAGGCATACCAATGCCCTCCAAGAAGCACAACGGTCTCTTGAGTCAAAGTCCTCTGAGTCTTCAGCTGTCGTGGAGCAACTTCAGTCCGAGATCCAGACGCTACATCAAAAACACACTGACGAACTGCGCCTCAAAGAAGAGACCATCGCATCTCACTTTCAGGCGCAAAAGGAGCTTCAAGACGATATTGCCAAGCTGCAAGAACGGGCTGATCAGGTCTCTGCTGACCTGGACACCGAACGCAACGCCCATGCAGAACAGATGCAGGCCAAGATCGAGGAGCTACAGAAGAGTTCTGGAGCAGAGCTGCAAGCGAGAGAGAATGAGCTTTCTGGCCATCTCAAGTCTATCGATGGTCTCCAGGAACAGATCGTGGCTCTGCAGCAAGGTTCAACTGACGGTGCCAGAGTCGCTGATGAGCTGCACAAGCAAATCCAAGAACTGAAGGAGGCTCATGAGGCAGCGATCAAAGTCAAGACCGATGAGAACGAGGAGCTTGTGCGACAACTGGATGCCATGAACGAGCAGCTTACCACTGACGCCGCCGAGCTTGAACAGCTCAAGGACGAGGCCGCAAGTCTCCGCAGCACCATCGAGACACTCGAGAAAACCTCGCAACAGCAAGAGTCTCAGCACGCCTCCGACATGGCTAAAGTCCAAGCCGAACTGAACGACGCGAACAAGAAGGTGGAAGCCCACAAGGCAGAGCTTGATACGCTGCACGATAGACACAAGCAAGATCTTCGGGTCATTGGGGAGGACTATGAACGCGAGATTGAGTCGCTGCGGGCGGATCTTGAAGGAGACGCAACCAAGCGGCTCAACACCCTGCAAGCTGACTACGACTCCCTCGTGACCGAGAAGAGCAAAACACTGGAACAGCATGAGCAGATCCTTGCTGAGCGATCCAATGAGCTTGAAGCTGTCAAGAAACAGGCTGAAGAAGCCCAGGAGAGTACCGCTCGCGCGACCGATAATCGAGACGATGCGCTCATGAAGCTCAAGAAGTTCGAAGAAGAGAAGGCGGCTCTCACAGAGGCACACGGCATCTCGCAGTCTCTAGTCGCCGATCTTCAAGCCCGCGTCGATGCCCTCACTCAGGAAGCTACCACTGTCAAAGACGTCCAGTCTCAATTAGACCGTCTGAAGGAGGAGAAAGCCGCCATAGAGGAAGCGCATGGGATGACTCAGTCGATCATCGCAGATTTGCAAGCCCGTCATGACTCCCTTCTGGAAGACAAGACCTCTGCTGAAGACGCTCATAGCCGAGCGATTGAAGCGCTGAAGCAGGACTCTGAAAGCCAGTCCAAGCATCTGCTCGCTGAACTGCAAGCGAAGTATGATGCCTTGCTGGATGAGAAGAA